AAAATATGCAAGAACGTTCGTATTGCTTGATGAATGAAGTTCTACATGTTGTATATTTATACATATTTAGGAGAACTTAATTATCCTCTGATCATGCTTATGAATCAAGATGATTGTGCTTGAATCATGGGATGATTAATATGATCGAGATACAATAGGTAAGTCTATCAAGATTATATCCTATTAATTTTTTAACGCATGATCTATGGTTGATGAGGGGAATTTTGAACTGAGTGATACTTATGGATTTTGTATGCTTGAATGGAGAGCTTGTGGTGGTACGAAGATAAAAAATATGGTGTGATTTAAAAATATGTCATTCTATGTACCCGGCCTAATGTAGGAATGTTATCCACAGTAAAGACTTGGTTATCTAGACACTTCTCCATGAAGGACTTAGGGGAAACATCATATATCTTGGAGATTCGGATCTATAGAGATAGATCCAAGAGGATGCTTGGCTTGTCCTAGTTCAAGTATATAGAAACCACTGTCAAAAGTTTTGGCATGAAAAATTCTAAGAGAGGTCTCATACCAATGAGACATAGGATATCATTTTCTAGGAGTATGTCCCCAAAGACTCCTAAAGAAATGACGAACATGGATAGGATATCCTATACCTCAACGATACGGTCTATCATGTATGTCATGCTATATACTAGGCTTGATATAGAGCATGCTTTGAGTGTCATGAATAGGTATCAAGCGAATCCAAGCTTGGAGTATTGGAAAGCAATAAAGTGTATCCTTAAGTACTTAAGAATGACTAAGGATCTTTTACTAATATATGGAGGTAGTAGCCTCAGGGATGAAGGGTACATAGACTCAAGTTTTAGTCTGATATCGATGATACCAAGTCGAATTCGGGGTACATGTACACTTTGAATGGAGGAGTAGTGTGCTAGAAGAGTTCTAAGCAAGATACTACTACTGACTCGACCATAAAGGCGGAGTAAATTACTACAGTAGAGGCAGCAAAGGAATGAGTTCGGATGAAGAAGTTCATCATAGATCTGGGAGTCGTGCTAAGTAACAAGGAGTCGATTTTCTTATATTATGACAACTAGGGGGATTGCTCAAATAAGGGAAAGAGTTGCATCCAAAGATAACATTGTAGATCCACTAACAAAGCCGTTGTCTCAGATTGTCTTTGAGCGTCACAGGGGTCTGATGGAGATCAGACATATAAGTGATTGGCTTTAGGTCAAATGGGAGATTACTTGTCATATGTGCCCGGTAAGCCAATCACGTGAGTAATGGCACGTGTGACTTGACATGTAGTCTTTTTGCTTATTATATTTTGACGTTTATTACTTTATATTGCTTGTTGTATATATATATATATAGTGATATCCTTCGATTTATACAATGAAAATCGGATTGTGATGAGATCACGATAATGAAACCGATTCGACTTTATACATAGATCCTAAATAATCTCGGTCATAGGTTACTCGAGAGGGACATCGAGATAACTGGACAGATTGGTATATTATATACCCGTACATAAGATGGATGCAATTGGTCTCATAGTTGCTCATGTGGGGACACTAGGGATACAGTATAGGTGCTCATTAGAGAATGAGTTCACTGATTAATCCGCTTACGGAATGCTGGATGGTTGATGATACTTTATTGTCAAACAGAGATTCCATAGTCCCAGTGGTATATCTGGTCCTTAGACTTGAGATACCAAGAATGTCTTGTATGAGTACTACACTCTTTGATACTGGGCTTATAGGTTTAGATGTCCTAGATATAGTACAACCGATCATCGGGAGTAGTAGTCAACCTTACGAGGGCTATTGAGTGTCGATAGAGGATCATCCACTCTCGATATCATAAGAGAAATATCCTATGTATTCTTGCTCGAACAAATCCCTAGCTAAGGTCATTCGGATTGAGAGAGGAAGAGTTTTCCAAGAGAATCCGATTAGAGCAAGACTCGAGTAGAAATCGTATGGGTCTGACAGCACCATGCCCAGTATACAATCTCTAGGATATTAGATTGATGAGGGACTATAGGTACATGGTAATTGAGGACATACATATCCAATAGATTGGATTCTCTTGTATCATATGGGGATTATGGCGTAGTGGCCTAGTATATCCGCAGTCGATGAGTTGAGTGAATTATTATAAAGATAATAATTCACTGAGTAAGAAGGAGTTCTGATAGGTATGACTCACGGCCAGCTTGATATTGGGCATAGAGGGTCACACACATATGGTAAGCGTTGCGATGAGTAGAGGTTCGGATATGAGATATCCGTTAGAGCCCCTATCTTATTGGATATCTAATAAGCTCCTGAATTATTGGATCCCATGGATGGTAGTTGATACTTTGTTAAAATTTTTATTACTTGAATTACCCTTCCTATTAGAATCTTGATTGAACTATGTTGTGATTGTTAGTTTTGTCTTCCTTTCTTCTCATTTCAAATATGTTTCATGATTTATTACCGTCGTCAACTCCTATTTATCTCTTAAGTTTATTAACAATATAAATAATTTTTTCTTCGTCGCTCAAAGAATACATATCAAAATCAAGTAATCTATAATAACCTTTACATTTTACATATAATCATTAATAATAATTCTCTCTTAATTTGCTTTCATTAAGGTGAATAGAAGACCACATTCAAGTGTGAAAGGTGGCTTGTAACTTGGAATATACTTTTGTCTGAGTACTTATATAAAGAAATTAGTGGAGATATAAAATCAATAACGGAGACTCGAATAACTTAAAGAATGAGGTGACTTAACCATAATTTGTTATTTTAATTTATTACTAATGTTGGTACTTCAGGTATTTGAATCTTTATACGTGGACAATTGGGAGAGATATTGATATAGGCTAATAGATCATATTTAAATAGATGATTTGTATATTATGATCGTCAAAGATGCATAGTTATCATCTTTAAAGAGTTTAAAAGGGATTAGAGTTGTAGGTTGAGAGGAACAATTGTTTTATGGGGAGACCATCATCAAGGTAGAGGAGGAAGATATACTATAGACTTGGGTAGAGAAATCCAAATTCAAAATTCACTTTACAATAGTACCATTGAGTGAAGATCTAATCTAACGAAGGAAATTAGATTTGGAAAGTGCAAAAGAGCTCTTCCTTCCTAAATCCCTTCACTCAATTATCAGTATCGATGACACCTAAGATCGAAAGGAAATTAGTGAAAGTCTATTATCGTCAAGGGTTCAACCGAGAATCCAAATCACTAGTGAGTCCGAGAGGTGACGAGAAGAGGGTGACACTAATAAGGTAAATTGAGGATGAGAAGAGGACGTGGATCTGAGGCATCGATGGGTTTGACGGGTGATGAAAAGAGGACAAGGACACTAGTAAAGCCATTGGGAAGTAGGCCGATGTAGGAGCAAGGGAGACACGGTGTGGTGTTAGTGTCTCCTGTTGAGGTTTGTTGTTCGTCAAAAAGAGCAGAACAGAGGAGGAGGAGGAGGATTATCGGAGGAGGATAATCACTGAGGAGGTAGATCATATCTACAATAAGTACGATCATCGAGCATATCATATCTACGAGCAGTATGATCATCGAGGCAGAACATTCGATATGGAGAGGAGAACGACGAGCAGTATAATCGTTGAGCTACCCACTGCACAGAATAAATTTAAGACCTATAACTAGAGCAAATAAGGAGAGGATGGTACTAGTCCATATTCAGTTGTAGATCAAAGTAGCAAGGAAAAGTAATCATCGGAGCAAATTAACGAGGAAAAGGAATCCCCATCATCGAAGTAGCGAGAAAGAGGAATCCTTGCTTGAGCTGAGAACGCTATAATACCATGAAGAAAGTATGCAAGAATGCTTATATTTTTTTATGAAAAATAGAGTTGTGTAAAGGTTAAGGATGACTTGATTGTCCTACAATCATACTCATGAATTAGGATGATTATTCTTGGATCATGAGATAATTGACATGATAAAGATATGAGAGGTAAGTATATCAAGATTTATGATCGATTCTCCATCAGTCTCCTCCTCTCTCCTATTACACTTTTGAGAGAAGGGCATCATGAAAAAGCCTAAGCCCACGTGGAATAGAGAGGAAATGCCGACGTCCTTAAGGCAACCTTTCAGAGAGGGACGGACGGAGAAACAGTACCACAAAATCAAATCCAAATCATAATGCTTCAATGGAGCTTCATGAATCAGGTTAATTAAATTCCAAAAGAAAGGAAGTGCAACTCAGGGTTTGGCATGATGTTCATGATATCCTCCTTTTGTTCTTTCTCTGTTAGCAACTAAATGTTCTTTCGAAGTAAGCAAAGAACCAGGAATATAACGGTGGCCAAAAAGCTCACACCATCCACACCTTCAACTTCCACCAAGAGTTGGAAAGTCTTCAGGGAGACACATCCATCTCATGCAGGCAAACAATTCATTCATCTCCAGTGTCCACTCTCTTGTGCTGAGACCAATAGAAGCAGCTGATGGTTGGCCATCATGGCCTTTGCTACAACATGATTCTGCATCACGCAACTTTGCCATGGCATGGGATGTGGACTGTAATTGGCTGCTATTCTGATGTGGTGTCATCTCGCTCAAAGGCCATGATGCCTTTATGTTGCATGATCAGTGTGTGAATATAAAGAGGCACTTTTGGTGGGCATGCTGTCAAACTAACTGTAGTTTGTGCTCAGTTCAGTGTTCCAGTAAGAGTGAAGCTTTAGATAACACATGTCAATGATTGCATGAGTGGGTCCTTTGTCACTTCATTTCTGGAGAAATAGTTCCTCCCTGTTCTGCAAGTTCTTGCAGTGAGTTCCACCATTCTTGGTTGATACCTTACACAACAAACAATAACATGTAGAACATGCCTTTAATCACCCATATATGTGAGCTGCTGTTGTCATTTTGAGGTCCACCAGCTGCTTTAAATACGAGCAATAGGATGAACCTTAGATCCATGGAATAGTGAGGAGGTTCCCAACCTAACTTCACTGGTATAACATTCCCAAAGAAAAGTACAGGAAAATGAAGAGTTTATATTTAAACTACATTCAAACTTCAGCAATTCTTGTCAAATATGACAGCCCATGTTTTTACAAAAAGTACATATTAAACCATCAAAGTCTTCCTGGATATCAAAACATGAGAGAGAGAGAGAGAGAGAGAGAGAGAGAGAGAGAGAGAGAGAGAGAGGTGGACCTAACCATGGTGGTGTTGGAGGAGTGACAAGAGGAGTCAGAACCCAAGGGACCAAAAATATCCACCCTTGGGACCATAGGGTGGTAGAGAACTCCAAAGCCTGTGGAGTTTATCTGAACTCATGGACAGGAGGGTAGGGCTAAGTGCCAAAAACAAACATTAGCACTCCTTCAACCTGTCCTACATGAGGCCAAGGCATCAAAGCCATGCCTCATCGAAGTATACAGACTACTGACAGGGTAGGAAGGTTAGTGAGATCATCTTGTCCCTGCCTGGATAAGCTGAGTGGTAGATTTCACCATGTGATCTCACATTACAGGATTGTTAGGTAAAGATGGTAGAGAGAAGCAGGTTTTCTTGGGTTGGAGAGGATTCATAAAGGCTAAGACCTGAAGACAAACTAGGGTTTTGCCAGATGCTCAACTTATGTGGAAGATGCTGATGCCAGGTAAATGTTTGACCAAGCTGTTGATTTCTTTTGCTCCACGAGCTAAATCTAAACTCCAAGGAAAAGCTTCTTTGTACCAGAGCCTCCTTGCTCTCCATTTCCTTCTTTTTAGCTCAAGCCCTCCTTGGACTTTGGGTTAGCAGGGCCCATGCACTTGAGCCATTGAATGCAGTGTTGGCTAATGGAGTCAGTGCTCCCCACCTCTGGGAGCAGACACTGTGAGCCCATCATCCGAGGGCAAAATGCGAGATGAGAGTCCTCCGAATCCCACATTACTAGATGGACCGGAAGCACTCTGGATCTTACTGTTCGGTTCAGCCCGCATGGGACTGAACTTGAAGAGATGACTGTGTGCATGACAGAAAGTGATGAGGAAGGATGACGAGTAGGGAAGGACCGACAGAATTGAGATAGAATGGAACCATGGTTAAGCCAAGGGTTGCTCGGGCACGGTCGAGGCGGAGAAGGGGGCGGGAATGAGCCGGTGAGCATAGGTGGCCGGAGATGACAGCGCCGGAGGTGTGAGAGCCATAGTCATGCCTGTTTTAAGGGAAAACACACTGTTACCAAAAACAATAAAAAGGCAAAGTTAGCTTCAACATCAAAGTCGTGTGAGACATCTACTGTCAGCATTACTTTACATGACGAGTTCAACATGAATCTACTTTTTGAGGCTCTATAAGAAAGAAAAAGAAATTATCTTGTATTCAGCTATAGATAAATGCATTTTACTTAATATAATCCATAAAATCATTATCATTATTCTGTTTATGCAACAGTAGGTTGATGTAGTAGTAGTACCTGCGTGTGCAGGAGGAGTTGGTGCGATGGACAATGGCCCTCCAAAATGCTGCACGAGCCCTGCCAAACCCGCTGTCGAGGCCACTGCTGAGTAGTGGAGCACCGGTGGATAGGGAACGCTGTAGCCATGTCCGCTCGCCATTGCGGTGGCCGTCCCTCCGCTGCCTTGCCCGAACTGGAAGTAGGGGTAGAAGGCAGTGTTTCCGGTCATTATTCCAGCCGCTGCTCCATAAACTGGATACTGTGCGGTAGCACCTCCATAGACACTGTAATAACCCTGGCCAAGACAAAGGTAAAACTAACATCACTAATATATGTACAAGTCCCTGAAGAAAATGGTTATCAGATGATGAAGTTTCTCAGTCTACCTTATCAATTTGCTCAAGACAATAACTATGAACATGAAAGATCTAAAGACAGTGTATCTCATCAGGTCCAGTTAAACATCACAAGCATTGAGATCTACAGATGCCTACTCACACAATAATTCAAGTGAAACATGCAGAAGTGTTTTTAACTCTTGGGTCCACATCTTCTTCCTGTGGTGCTGCAGGTTTTATTTGGAGTGGCAGATGCTGCAGACTTACAGATTGTTTAGGGATAAAAGGGGACCAGACCATGTGCTTCTGCCACTTAAGTGGATGATAAAAGAACAAGAACATGGATGTTAAAATGTTTCTTATGACAGACTCGGGACCATTTCATGTGCAGCAGTACCAGATGACCTAATTTTTTTGAGAGCAGAAAAGCTCCAGTGCAGGTGATCTGTTGTTTTAGCAGATAATTTGGCTTGGACAGTGGGTCCTTCAATTAATGGCTGGTTGGGTTACATCAAGCCTCTCTCCATTAATTCATGCAGGGACATGCATGCATGGCTCCATAATGTCTTGATGAAGATTAGATTTCCTGATTGTTAATATCTCCTAGGATGCATCATTGATTGGGCTATGCCAACCATTATCTGATGGTCACCATCATTTTGCCTCAGAATCTCCATTTGATCCTGTTCAGAAGAAGGCTTCTGCCATCTTCTAGTCCTCGGTGATTGTTTGCATTAGATTTTTCCTGCTTATAATTCTCCTTTTATTTCTTGAATAAGATAAATTTGTCTAGTCTAGGATGTGTTTTGAAGTTCTCCTTCATAGCAATGCTTCTCATAAAAATCCCCAAACTAGGATATTTTAGTTATATGATTCAAAATTGACTATTCTAATAGTGCAATTAATCAACACTTCTTGAATATTCACTATAGTAATTACTCTACTTACAAAACTATCTTATTCTGATTTTTAACTAGAGTATTACCATATGTTCATAGAAAAAATGGTGATTCATAAACTAAAAGTTCCTTCTAGCTACATCCAAAATGGCATAGTTTTTGAAGCCCTAAGTTCTATACTTGTTATTGACCTTGGTGTGGTCATAGGCAGAAATACATCATTAGTTTCAGTTAGTTTGCTTATATTCCAGATTACTGAAAATGATAATTCTATGATAAATTACAGTAGAATTTTTATGATTCCATACTAAAGTAAATGTCTTACATTTTATGTGATATTGTGCCTTTTACTGGTACATATGTTCAATGGACAATCACATTTCAAGTAAACAAAACAAACTGTATATATTTAGCTTCATGAAGATTCATAAATGCTTGCATATAGCATAGTGCTCGACTTTAATTGTATCAAAATGAAGACAAAGCATTGTAATCACTAGTAGAGAAGAGGAGGTGTAGAACAAACCGCTGGGTAGCTGTAGTCCGAGGAGAATGGAGAGTACCTGAAATGGTTGGAAAGAAAGAAACAAAAGGAGAGAAAGAAGATTAGAAGCGTCTCCAAAACGCAAAAGAAGGTTTGAAGATTTTGCATGGACTGTGCATTATGTTTGCTGCATTTCCTTGGATGGCTAAGGGAGAGTATGCATGCAGAAGCTGCTCTTTCCTGCATGCTTTCTGGTAATTCATGCATGGTCTCCGTCACACAAGCATATGCCAGAGAGAGAAACAGAACTGGCTGAAAGAAAGCACTCAAAGCCCATGATGGACAACTGTGCACATTCATATGACAGCTTTAGCTTTTAATGTGCAAATATCAAAGATCAACTAGAGAGAGAGAGAGAGAGAGAGAGAGAGAGAGAGAGAGAGAGAGAGAGAGAGAGAGAATGTAGAGTATTGCACCATGCATCACCAGCCATATCCCATGTGAGTTGCTGCAGCATTCAAAGGGAAGCTGTGCCTGTGTGTGTGTGTGCAATGCATGTGCCTCTTTGCTGATATGATGTAATGAGGTTAAAGCTTACCCATAGAGGAGGCCATATGGGACACCATGTTGGATGGCATAATGAGGGAAGGAGGCAGGAGAAGGAAAAGCTGCACCCATCCCACCTTGGTATCCTGTATGAAAGGATTTCACCACCCTAAAGCTCCTGTTTCCTCCTGAGAGAGAGAGAGAGAGAGACAGAGTACAATACAAACAAATGAATGCCAACAAAATTTAAGGAATCTGATCTGAGAATCTTAGACTTATCCTTGTAAGGTTTGGGGTACTGAAGACCAGTCAAAGAATACAATCCACACTCGATTCTGCAGAAACAAATACTCCTACACTACTGTAACACACACATATATATATTTATACATATATATATGTATATATGTATACATATATATATACATATATATATATATGAACTAATTCCTAGGATAATTGACATCTCAGGTTTGTACTTGCTTCACCAAGGCACTTGAAACATCATTATTCTAGAAAAATATCTAGATCAAATCAAGGAAGAACATGTCTTCTGTATCGTTAATCCTCCATGAGTTTTTAGATAGTATTCTGCACTTACGGCGCAATATAATCAATATTGACTAGCAAAAGAATCTGTTCAATTAGATTATCAATAAGCTCAAAGTGGTAGCAGAAGAAACTGTAGTTTAAGAGATGGAAGAACTGATCAAGGAGTAACACAAGATTATGGTCGTGATAACCCTACCATAGGGGGGTGTTGTAGGCCGAGATCTCTGAGCACCCAGTGAAGCAAGATTGCAATTAGCCCTCCGCCCATCGATCACCGGCGAGGGATCGACGCAGGCTCTCGTCGCTGCCGCCGGCTCGCGGAACGTCACCTGGAACCAAGGAGAAAGAATGGGATCAAACAATACAAGTAGATCAACAACACATGAAATCATGCATAGACATGCCACCACAAGGAGAAGACTCACGAATCCATAGCCTTTGGATCTTCCAGTGTTCTTGTCGGTGATCACCACAGCCTCCAGGATCTCCCCAAACTGCTCAAAGTGCTGCCTCACTGTCTCGCTCTGGGTCTCCCACGCCAACCCCCCAACAAAGATCTTTGTGTAAGTGGTGTCTCCAAATTGCCCAGCCAAGCTTGGACTCATCGTGATTAATTCCCGGAGCAGCTCTCTTCTTCCCTCCTCTTTAACCCCTCCAAGATCTTTCTGACAGAAGTTGCAGCACAGGATCTTCTGAACCTAAACAAACAAGCCCAGGTATGTAGATATCTATTTAGTTCAGATCTCCCAGATGGCACAGGTGAATTGGCCAAGGTTTGGGATGAAAGGAGGAGGACAGCAGAAGAGAGAGAGAGAGAGAGAGAGAGAGAGAGAGAGAGAGAGAGAGAGAGAGAGAGAGAGAGAGAGAGAGAGAGAGAGAGAGAGAAAAAGGAAGAAAAGCTAGAGGCAGAGAAAGGGAGACCTAATGGGGCATAGGAGCAAAAAAATAGCATTACATGTACTCTTCTTGCTCATAAATCTAGATGAGTATTGCCACCATTGCACTGCTTCCAACCATATCGATGCAATATGCTACGAACAATACAAGCTTGAAACAACTAACTTGACCGATATGGCCCTGACGTTGCCGTGAACCACGAGAATACCTTGGGCTGTGACGCTAGCTTGTCCTTGTCGTGACGGCCGCCAAAACGGAACGGCGAGATCGCAACGGGCACGGGGGCGGTTTGGTTGGACAAAAGTGCTCATCCAAATCTACTACAAATAAAAAACTGGGAAATCAATGGAACCCAATCTATGTGCTTCTCAAAAGATGTAATATATACATATATAATGATGCTTCATGAATCAAAACTAAGTTGATTAGGTACAATCCAACTCAATTAGAAAGGGAATTTGAAGCTAATAATCCCTAGTAGTGACTAGCTAGTATGATTAGTTGGGACTAAAGATTGATGTGTTTGCATCTTGAGCAGCTTCTGCAGTCAGAACCTTCGTCTTCAACCTGGAGGTGGAAAAAGCGAGACATGGGGGAGAGATTTAATGATGGATGTTCCCACAAGCAAGCAATATGGATGGCATGGCCATGACAAGAGTGGACACTCAAACAAGCTTCTCTTTTGCTTTTACTCGATCGAACTCATTTGTTAACCATTCATGATTTGTTTCTGTACTGTATTATTTTATTTAGATGGTAAGGAATTGAATCAGCATAAAGTCAAATGTTCTTCAAAAATATTTAAGCTAGAGAATCTACTGCCAAACCCTAATCACTTCTATCCAATTTGATAAACAATACTACAAGGTATTGTATCAGCATGAAGTCATGTATTTTTCAGTATTTATGCCAAATCATTAGCATACGGTGGGATCAGTTCCAAGTACTAATACATTCTTGTTTTAGTGAACCCAAACTATATAAAATGATTGGATGGTAAAATATGTGAAGCTTATTTACCAGTATTCTTCTTTATTTATATGAATATAATGAGGTGGTTAGTTCTTTGAAATGAGTGACAGCTCCAAGTATCTGAAAAGCATTTCCTTGTAAGGAAGAAAAAGACTTATCTGTTGCCTTATTATACTTGGATGACAACACAATCATCAACATCAGCAGAGCGTTATCCACCCATGCATGATCGACCAGCCTCTCCTACGCCCAAAGTAGTATCACAACAATAATACTCACCACCAATTTGTTCTATCAAAAGCAATCAGTCCTCGATAAGTTGTCCAACATTTCATTTATCAGAAGATCTTTTCTAACTTAAACAGGTAGAATAAGCATGGATTAAAAAAGAAAGGTTATTTACTAGTCTAACTTAACAACAAAAGAACTGCTCGAATTCGTATAATATTTTGTATTTAATTTAAAATAAAATAAAAAAATAAATAAATAATTAGAAGAAAATAAACATTGTTTGTGAGGTCGAGCAAGGGTTTTCTTGGGGTTTGATTACCTGGTGGGAGCTGGGATGCCTGCAACATGAGCTTCTTTTGACCAGAGAGAAGAAAGTGAGGGCAGTAGCGGCTGCAGGGGAGGAGTCGTGGGCTCAGACTTACCAATCGCACGCTGGGGTCCATCAGCTCTTCTTCTTCTTCCTCACGATTCCTTGCTAAAGAATGCCTGCGAGCACGAGGGCAAATGTGTACGGCCCAACCTGTGCTTGTGCTAAATTGATTCCAAACGACCATTAGATGGCATGTCAGCATGCATTCCTGCAGTTCTTTTTAGTTCTTCATTCCAACTTTAAACATCCCATTAAACACGCATACACCCTTAAATTAAAAGTTATCATGAACACGCATACTCGATCACCATACGATTCAAACAGAAGTCTATGACTACGGGGTGATACATCACAAAAGATCAAAATAGGCACTCAACTACATGATTTAACAGCCAATACACAGACACTAGAGCAGACTAAACAGGCAAATGAGTCAGCTTCTGAGTTCTGTCAGTGAACCGTATGAGCTACTGTGACAACCTACTCAGAGAGTGAACCCACAATGCGAAACAACCGAAAGGAAACTGATGCTTCCATTCGAGTGTCTGCAGCACCAAAGAGACCTTTTTCTCATGGAAAATGAGAAAAAGCTATTTGCCAAATGGAAACACACAACTTGCAAAAAGGACGCACCAGAGCCCTCTACACAACTACTAAAGGGAACACAAGATAGCATTATAATGACCTACTTTTTCTGTTAATGTCAGATTGAGGGTATAACAATCCTGAACAATGATGTTGGAAAATACTAATCCCAAGCAGAAACTGACAGTATAATTTAGGTACGTACCTGATTGGTCTAAGGATTAAAGCATCTTCCAAGTAAGAGGCATTTTAAGCATAAGCAAAACTTGTAGCTTTCCCCAAAGGGTTTGCTGGCTAAAATTGTCAGAATAGCTAACCTCCAAGTTGTTCTTGGACTAAAATGCAGTCATGTAGGCAGGACTCTGTGACAAGCAACCCACGCTTGAATCATCCATCCACGACTGCACACACTTTTCCTCTACAGCTCAGCCACACAGTTATGTTGTTGAGGCATCCAAGATACATACTGGGATCTGCTGGAAAAGTATGCACCAAGGTAGAAACATAGAAGGATATATAGTTTGTGGCTACGTATTATATCTTACTTCTAACCACAACACCAAAGCCAGAGCAAAGAGTCTCCATTCATCATCATTGTGACCAGTGGATGTTTCATTGTAGGATGTATCCACCTATGGAACATACTACATAGTCTCCTTGTTGCGTGATGACGGGGTTACATGTACAGCTTGCTCAGTCAAATCAGAATTTGTAGCATGAATAAAATACTTCATCATGAATGCTCTAAATTTTAAGACAATATTTAAAGACCACTTAATTTCTGTGCCATAACTCACAGGTATTTCTCTTAGACAAATAAGTGACAAAGTTTACCTTGTAGAAGCTGTGGAAATATATTTGCCATAACAAGTCCAAGTTATGTAACTCAAAAAGATATTTGCATTGTTCACAAGTTCAATATGGTCCAAAAATTTGTGTTATAGCAGCAGAAGAACAACCATATGTATCCTACCTGATGGAAAAAAAAAAAAGTTGATATTTTTTTGTTTACAAATTGTTAGATATCCATCAAGAACAAAAGGAAACTGATTTTAAAAATGTGAACTCTAATTTGAACACTAGTAAAAATGAAACAACTTATATTTCTTCAGGCATTGTCAAGAATTCTCCAATCAGGAGTTGACAAGAATGGGAGGTAATCTTCTCAAGATAGAGACTACATCACTTGGATATATTATACATGTCACTCCTTTAGTTGTAAGAGAGTTGTGAGCCTTGCCACCACAGGAAGCTCCACAGGACAAGGGAATCCAGGATAGGGTCATGAAATTAAGTGGAAACAATCTTGTTCCACTAGGTATTAATTAGTCAATAAATGAAAGATATAATTCTCCCTTTTCTCCAAATATGCATCCCTGTTGAAAGGAGTTTCTGAGTATAATTTCTCCCTATCTCTTCTTCACTTAACCTTAGATTCTTGTCACCATCATCTATTGTCTTAAAGGCTCAAAATTAGACAAACTATCTCCAACACAACATCATAATTCAGCCCACCTTTCCAGCTGGTGTCTTTTGCAAAAATTTTTTAAGATTTTTTGTCCAGCACTTTATCAACCATTATAGTTGTATCAGTGTCCACATAAAGACTAGTTACCAGCTTAGCAATTGACTAATTTATGCATGAAATAAAAAAAATCTAACAAAATACATATGTGGTGTAGCCTGAATGCACTTCACCTTTTCTCTAGATTCTGTCCTTCAATATACCCTGAGTCTTTGCTTCAACTGAGCTTTTTCACTGTGGACTTACTGATCATATAACTCATGTTATTCACTCCAAAGCAAACAAATTGGGTGAAAAAAATACCCTCTCCTATAGTGAAATGGATTCTGGAGTTGTTGAAGTACAACAATGGATACGGGGAACCAAGTCATAGAATGCAGCAATGAAGAAATTTTCCCTCCAAGTTTACTGTGAGTTCCCCAAAGAAAAAAGTTAAAGGAAACATGTATGACTAGAAAAGAAGAAATATGCATGATTGAGCACAAAGATGATGCAAGCCAGATTATGAAGTTTTTCTTTTATCATATTTCCAGAGACAACATTCAGTAGTTTAGCGCCATACATATATCAGCAGCTGTCAAAAGAAACAGTTTAACTGAGTATTAGAAGTTGACAGTTCCCAAAAAGTTAGCCAAGCAGAATGACATTAAAGAAATAAGAAACAGGAGGTGTCTTTTCAATGACCTACAAAAGATTTACCAAAATTATGGTGTCATCTCCTTCATCTGTATTCACAGTAGATAATGTTTATGTTCTCTCACAAATGGTTTTCATTACCAATAATGAGAAAAGTTGTGGGGTTGAAAGATAATGAGATGGTATATAAATTCATACCTTTTTGACATCAGGACTGCAGACTCACAAATTAGCACATCCAGCTTTGAACTTGATGGTCAAATCAAAATTGCTAGAGTACATGGGTGAACAATCCCTGACCTAATCCCCCAACCTGACATTAAATTAAGGAGTCCACATTGGTGTGGACCACAAATGGTTGATATGATTAACCCAATTAGCGACTGAGTTGTCTAAGTTAACAAATTGATTCAACATCCTGAATAGGTATGATAGTAATCAAGTTTAATATGTTATTTTTTGGATCATAAGACAGGACTGATCCTTCAAAATGGATATTCTTCAATTTGAAGAGGATAGGCATCCTAAGGAATGCCAAGAGAAAATAGCTATTGAACTAGAATTAAATTAACTGAATAACGAGATATCAAGTCCAAGCATTAACTTAAAGCTTAAAA